CTGAGGTGCAGGACGTTGTTGCGGGAGAAGGTGTCCCTCTTCTCCAGCAGCACCACGCGGGCGCCCAGCAGGGCCAGCTCGATGGCCACCCGCAGCCCACAGGGACCAGCCCCCACCACCAGGCACTGCCGAGGGGACAGGGGGCATCAAGGGGACAGTCACCCCCCCAAGAGTTGGGGTTTGGGGATGGGAGGATTCCCCAGGGTGCTCAGCACCACCACAGGCAGCATCTCCCCCCTTCCCGTGGTCAGGATCTGCCCCCCCCCCTGCTTTCCCCTTTTTCCCCCTGGCTGGAAGCACCAAGTTTCCCTGCAAAGTGGGAGGCCCTGTGGGGTGTAAGGCTGCCTGGACCTTGGCTTGGCCCAGGGTAATAGCAGCAATTAAAGCTCTCGGGGAGATAAGGCAGGCACGTGTGTCACCTCCAGCAGCCCAGGAATGGGGACATTTCTCCAGCAACAGGGTCAAAACCAGGGCTTTGATCTGCACAGGGCTGGGGGCACAATGAGGCACCAGAGATGGAGACAAAAGCCATCAGTCCCAGGACAGGGGAGCAGAAATAGGGACCTCCAGGAGGACATCCTACCCTGGCATGTTCCTGTTCCCTGGGAAGGGCTCAGCAGGTCCCTCTGCCCCTTTCCAGCCCCCCATGGGGTGTCCCCTGTGAGAAGCAGCCAGGAGGGACACTGCACCACCTCATGGGGAGGGAAGAGGTGCTAATTAACACCCTGCCCCATTAAACCCCATCAACCCCCTGCCAGGCTCATCCCACATCCTCTCCAGGGTGGGGACCAAGATGCTTTCACCAGTTTCACCCTGGGGACAAGGACACAGGGCAAGGAGAGACCCCCCATGTCCCCCGTACCTTGGTGCTGGCACAGGCTGTGCCCTGGTCATAATCCTTGTGCCCAGCTTTTTTATCCAGCTTGCTCCAGAGGGCCTTGGCACTCCAGTAGTTGAGGGCAGCCTTGAGGCCGTGGTAGAGCTGGAGCCCATTGCCCTGCACCCCCAGGTGCTGGCACAGCTCCCCAAAAGAGTCCAGCACCTCCCGGCACTGCCCGGCGTGCAGGAACCTCTCGAACACGGCGTGGGCCGGGTTGCCCGGCTCCTCGGCTGCCACACTCATCCCTCTTCACCCAGCAGCCTGGCAAGAGGTGGCAGAGATAAGGGTGGAGGGACCCCCCTGGACCCCCCCCACCCTCAAGCCCACCCGATACCAGACCTGGTGCCTCGGCGCAAAGTTTCCCAGCCCAGGGGTGTCGTTGGGTGACTGAAAAAGCGGGGTCTTTTTCCAGGAGTGGCTGGAGGAGCCTCCCCCCCACCACGGGTGCTGCACCCGGAGAGCCACCGTGTCACCCTGCGGTGGTGACGTCAGGGGAGGGGACGGCTGCGGTGGCACCCAGTGGCTTCCTCCATACAGTGTGTACCTGCAGAGCAGAGCAGAGTGAGGTGCTTCGGAGCAGAGAGGCCACTTCCTTCCTCTTCACCCCTGGCCTCGCTGAGGGAGGGACAGGGAGAGGGGGGGGGTCCCAGCTGTGGTGGGTAAACTCCAGCTGGCCCAAACCCCAGCAAAACCCAGCCCTGGGGCAGGAGGGAGCAGGACTGGACCCATCCCACCAGCCTGGCTTCTGCAAGCGGAGCAGGGAGACTTTCCAACCCCAACTCCGCCTCTGCCACCCCCGGAGCAGAAGCACAGAGGCGGAAGCAGATTAGCACAGAGGAAACGCCGGTGGGGAAACCAAAAAAACAGCCAAACCACCTAAGAAATGACCCCATCACACTGGGAAACCCAGAGGAGGAGGGGTGCAGTGCATCCCCTCCCACAGGCACCCCAAACCACCCCCCTTGTCGCCGGCATCTCGCAGGGGACCAGCACTCCTTGCATCCTCCTGGCACCACCTGATGCCCATTTCCATCTTGCCACCCCCAAACCCAAAGCTGATTCCCTTCTAGCCGTGGTCACCAACCCCCAGGGCTGGAAAAGCCTCCCCCAGCCCAGCAAAGCAGCCAGGAGGGCCGTGGAGCTGCCAAGGAGGAACTGGTGGAGGAACTCGGAGCGCTCCTACCTTTGAACCATCGCTCTTTGCCCTCTCCTGCTCGGCGTTACGGGCAGGCAGTGGCACCCCGAGGCCACCGCAGGATGCCAGAGAGGGAAGGACACCGAGTCCAAGCCACACTGCCCTCCATGGGGCAGAGGAAAACGGGCGTTGAAGCCTGAGCTTAAATTTCGTCCGGAAAGCCCAAATTCCGGGTGGGTTTCAATTTCGGTCTCGCTCCAGCAGCCTCTGACACGGCGCTTTGCAAGGCCAGCTGGAGCCACCGGGGATGCAAAGCAGTTCTGGAGGTCACCTTCCCTCCCCAGCATCACCAGCAGGAAATCCCGGTAATTTCACCTCTTCCTTCCTGGGCAGACACAGCCATAAAGCATCCAGTCTGGCCGGAGTGGGAACTGGCACCGACCAGTCCCCCGAGCAGCAGAGGGGACAGAGGACACGACCGACGCGTTCTCAGACCGGGGGGGACTGATTTCTGCTCCTCCCCCGAGCGCTGCCAGTGGGATGGAGTGAGCCTGGGGAAACTGAGGCAGCACAGCTCTGCAAACCTCACCGGAGAGCCCTCCTGCGGGAAGCTGCCCGGGAGGCTGCGCTGGCTGCCCGGGCTCCAGCGTCCTGCTCCGGTCCAGCAGGACGAGTTTTCCCCCAGGAGCTCACGAGGTTTTTTTTCCCACCCCCAGGAACTCACGAGGTTTTTTTTCCCACCCCCAGGAGCTCACGTTCCTGCGCTGGCGCCTGCCAAGGCCACCGGGCAGCAGCCCCAGGGCGATGGGGCAGCAGAGCAGCCTCCTGGCAGCACCCGCTCCAGCATCACCAGCCCCTGGCTCCGAAAAAAACCCCAACACATCTATCTCAAGGCTTCAATTCCTACTGGATACGATGCCGGCGTGGAAAGGGGGGGGAGCACAGCACCCGGGAAAGCTTTCAAGCCTCGGTGCTTTGGCAGGGAGGCTTGGAAGAGGCAGAACAAGCAGCCTTGTGTTACAACGAGTTTCCTACAGAAACGATGCTCGTGCCCACAGCGAGTCCCCTTTGGCAGGAATCCCCCCCACCCCCAACTGCAAGCAAGGACAGAACCCCGCCCGGGATACTCACTTCCTGAAGCAAACAAACAGTTTGCAGCCCAGAAAAGCCAGTGCCAGTGAGGAGGGGCACAGTGCTGGGCCAGGCTACCTCTGGTTCTGCTCTCCCCGCATTTTCCTTTTGCATTTATTCCTTTAAAACCACTCCCGCGAGCCGGGGGGGGAAGGCGGGAGGAGTTGCAGCCAGTCCTGACTCGGCTCTCGTTAGGGTGGCTCCAGACATGCCAATGGGGACATCTCCCAGGACTGGTATGTGTGGAGCATCCCTGGAGCCCGGACACCCCCATCCCGCTTTGCAGTTCGAGGGTTCCCCCCCTGCCCTCGCAGCCCCTTGGGAAATGGGGATTGGGGGTGGGGGAACTGCCCCAGGGGTGCTGGGCTGCTGGTGAGCTCATGTCTCCCAGGCACGTGGAAAATGGGGTGGGAAAGGACACGGCTCCATACGGAGCTAATGAAAGCTGGGAAGTTTTCCAGCAGCAGCAGATCCCTCTCCAGCCGAGCCTCTCGCCAAGCCAGCCATGGATCAGGCTGCTCTACGTTTGGGATCCACCCTGGATAAACCCTGGGCTGGACCCTGGGAAAAGTCATTCCCTCCATTTTGGGGATGGCCCCAAGGCCGGTGGGCAGGATGGAGGGTTTCTTCTGGCAGTCCCAAGTCCAAGGGCTTGGACAAAGCTCCTGCTTTCCACCACTAGCCGAGCTGGGCCAGTACTGGGAAGAGGGAAAGGCAGTGGGTGCTGCTATTCCAAGAGCTCAGGAGAAACATCCTAGATGTGGGAATGGGCAGGGAGATCACCACAGCCGACCCCATGGAAACCTGCCCTAATTTGTCTGGCTTTTAATCCTTAGAGGGAGGAGAAAAGCCCCTGTTGGCTACTCTGGGTTGAGCTGGGGATGTGGGCACAAAGGCACACCCCGGCTGAGCCCCCCTCCTGGCACGGGGCTGCAGGGAGAAGGGCTGAAGAGAGGGGACAAACCTGCCACCAGCACCGGTGAGGTGCAGAGACAGACACGAGAGCTGCAGGAACACCCCCC